TAGAAAATAGGAAAAAAAAAGAAAAAAAAAAAAAAAAAAAAAAAAAGGGGGGTGGGGGGGAAATGAATCGTACGTTAGCGGTAAACCTGAGAGTCAAATCTATGTAACTAAGATCAAATGTTCACCTAAAAAAAGGGAGGGAATGATAGAGGAAGTCCAGATTGGTGTAACATACATGTTGAGAGTCAGAAGATGCCAACACAGTTTCATCTTCAAATCTGTTATTTTAAGTCAGGGAGGGAATTAGAGTCTTATCTGGATTAAAATCTCTGTGGCCAGATAAAGACATTTTGAATTAAGAATGGGTTTGTTTGTGGACACTGGCATTTTAGAAGCCTATGTTAAAGAAATGAAGTCATCAGGAGGTGTTTCAGTCTCTAGGGCGAATGAAGAAAACGTCTTTTCCTTCCTCTTCATTCTTCTGGCGTTTACCCTGCCACTATTTTCCTGTCTTTTTAAATTTACCATTGGGTGAACTTAACTGGTGGCAGCTTCAAAGTGCAGGAAAGAAGCAACTGATCTGGGGCATAGGATGGGATGTCTTGTGGAGCCAGGGTTTTGTCTCTGATGGTGTGGTGCTGGCTGTCTATAGCTTTCCTCATAATTTTTGAATCAGTGCAACTGTCTTTGTTCAAGCAGTTGGGCTTCTCAGTTTTTAGAGAGCTGTTGATGTCAAAGGACCTCTGCTGTTAACACTGTCTGGAAATCCAGCTGTAGTGCAAGGATGTAAAATCAGCTTGATGCCACTTAGCTTTGGTATAAGCCTCAGGAAGGTCTCTGCAGCCAAATGATGGTGTGATGTTGGAGTGTGCAGGCAAACACTCTAGCTTGGATCTAGCCAGGGTGAGCAGTTGTTTTAGTGATGACGTGAGCTGCAGATTTCAGCACAGGATGTACTAGAATACATACGGGCTTTGTTAGCCCATCCTAGGGCTCCATCATTCTATTTGATAAAGCTAATACATACCTTTTATTTGAGTGTCCAGGCAGGTCCAAAGGGATTTGGACCCTAACACTTTTGAAAACCTTGCTAGATGTCTTTTTGCATTTTATAGGACTGGCTCTTAGAGATTGTGGAAAATGTGACCTCCTTTCTATTATTCTATGCTGTTCAGTTTACAGAGGAGAAATTTAAGTGACTCCAGGAATTGTGACATGGTTTCAGAGACGGTAGCATGGTCAGGAATAATAGCAAGTAACAGTGACTCAGGAAGTTTGTGTCCTGTTTTCATCTGTGCTGCTGACATACCTTGTCGTTTAACCTTTCTGTGCTTCAGTTTCAATATACAGTTTCTAATAAGCACATTGAGATTTTCAGATGAAAGGCTTTATGCAAACAAAAGTATTGCTCTACTGTTGAACGCTAATATAAGTTGTTAATAGACTACCAGTATATATTTTTAAAACTACCAGCTGGGTCTTGCTTTGTATTCTGAAAATAGCAGATCAATATTTATTTATTGAATTAATCTATTTGTGGCAATACCAATTTTAGTTCTAATTTTATAAAAATATTTTGCAGCCAAGTGCTTATTTCATGTACACCAGTATTTTATTTTGACAGAGATAAGCAAGGAATATCAAAAACCTCTAGGAAAACATATCTTTTAGCTTAGAGAAGAAAATATGCTTTTGCTGACTTTCTTGACATTTTGAACTCCGCTTGGGAGATGTTTCATTTCTGTGTGTTGACCAGGAAGCAGTTAGCTGAAAGACAAACTGCTGTATGTGAGTGAGGGAAAACACAGAGAATATGAAGAACACACAAAAAAATAGGGAAAAGGTTGAAGTGATATTTTGACTGGTCAGTCTTTTCTAGGAAATACCAAAATGACAATTTATTTAAAATGTCACCAACTGGACCTTTTTTACAACGGCACAAACCAATCATTGTTATTTTTTTTCAGTGGAAAGGGTTGATTTCATCAGAAAAGAGCGAGTACAGCATTATTAGGAGGATTTGGTGGTTTTGGTCATTAAACCAAAGATTCAGAACCACACGCTTTAATTTTCTTTGTGTTTTTTGGAAGCTTTTACACATTTCTTTTTGGACTAAAACCTGAAACCATCTCAAACAATCCTGTGATTTGTTTTCTTAACCCCCACTGTGTATTGCTCAGGCACAGTTCTCCTGAAGAACTTATTCTTTGTGGTCTATTAATGGTTTTGGCACTCCTTCCCATCTGTAAACCTAAACTTGGTATAACTTTCCTCCATCTGAAAAGGATTTGGCTAATGTTTTCACTGTGTTGGCCAAAAAGCAACTGTTGACTTGCAGGCAAACTCACCATTGATTTTACATGCTGAGAGCAACAAAACCAGAAAAGAAGAAAAATTCATGGGAGAGCATGCACTGTTTACTTCCTGTGTAACAATCTGCATTGAACTGAAAAGAAAATTGTAGCCTATCTCTAAAAACAGAAATCTGCTAAAAATGTAAAGGTTCAGTAAGCAGAAGAGAAGATCGTAACAAGCACAGATACACTTTAAACATTTATGGATCATGTCTGAAATGATACATTTAGGGGATCGTATGAGTTTCAATCACCTCTAGAGTCATCCATTAAAATAAAATGAAATAGATTGTAGAATTGCTGTAGGACTTCAGGGTCAATTTTTTCCCTGGGTTGCAACCGTGAAACTCCATTAGCTTTGGCTCTTTTATTCAAATATAATTTTTTTCTAAAAATTGGAACCTTGCAGTGAACATTCAGTTTAGGTCCAGCTGCTATTACATTTGCTCTGAGACATGAGCTAAATCATGTCGTTTGGACTTCCAGTCTTGTAAACAGCCATAGTTTCACTACAAAAGCTTTTCAGCTAAACATTACAACTGAGTGAAATTTCTGCTTCTGGTTGCCGTCCCTGAAGTTGTTATTCTTTTGCTGCTGTGCTTTGACTCGTCTAGGGATACGAGAGCTGCTATTGCTAGTGGTATCAACATACAACTCAGCTTAAATTTAGTACCAAACTTTCAGAGTGCAATTTACCATCTGCTGAAGCCTTAAGGTAAACATACATGCCAGGCAATAATTCACGCAGGAATATTCCCTATCAGCCTGTGTTATGAAGAGCAATCTTCGCAGATAGAGTTGCATTCCATTCTCCAAATTGGTTTTGAATTTCCTTGTGACTGGCTTTAGTCAATAGAGCAGAGTGGAGAGCACATTTTGAAAAATCTCCTGTTTCACTTCCCAGCACTCTCCATTTTTTTTTCCAATTTAAACATGGAAACTCACAGCCATATGCTGTACAGTGATCTGTGATCTATTGGTCAAACTCTGCTTGATTAATGCATGATTGCAACGCTTCTCTCCCCACTGGCAAACTACTTTCCCACCAGTGGTTAAAAAATGATCACTTTGCACTCTTAAGCACATACTCTGACACCTCCATTCTTAAATTAATCCAAAATATAAGAAAAGTAGTCTAAGAATTCCACCACGTTAGGACGCTCTGGTGTGTACTCTGAAGCACAAGAGCACACGGAGTGGGAACTGAGATGCACTTTTGGTTGTCTACATAATGGCTTATGGAAGGACCACATTATTGGGTCATGATGATTAGGATGTGGATTATTGTCTGATTAGTTTGATTAGGGTCTGATTACTGTAATAATAGGAGAGCTAAACAGTCTAAGCAAACTGATATCTTGGTATCTGTTTCCATACCTGCCATTATAATAGCTAAATAGCAGCTGAGTGGGGAACTACTGTGCTCAGAGTATTGTGGCGTTTGTTCAGAGAGAAGAAGAATTTAACAAAATAGGAGAAATCACTGCAAACATAAGAAGCAGAAATGTAGTTATAACAACATATTAGGGCTGATAGATAAGTAAATTATGAACTTAGAGAATATCTGAAATACTGGAAAGAATGGAATGGAAATTAGAAAAATGGAAGTTTAGATACATTTTAAAGCCAGCCTGGAGAAAACACTAGCTTGTTCAAATAGTACCCAACACATGCAAGGAGGTGAATTATTCTCATCTGCAGGTTTTGGGATTCTACTGATGTGTTCAGAAGAGTTCCTGTCTCTTAGGAGGGGAACTGTGCTTCTGTGATTCTGTGAACTGTGAATACGAAAAGCTGGTTGCTACCTGACTAATGTGTTTTGATTCTGGCTCTGTTTCTTGTACTTCTGACTTAAGAGCCAAATGAAAGAATTAGACTGTTGTTACTTAATAAAGTGATACAAAGAAAAAACATAAAAGAAAAACTATCCCCAAGATATTTGAAGATCAATCCCAGGAAAACCACCATTTTGACTGAAAATGGTACCAAGAAGGTATGAAAAGTTACTACTCTTATAAAGGCTGCCATCTTCTTCACAACAATCACTGCTCCATTAAAGACAGGGAGTTTAACTTTTAAAAGCAACAAATATTGCAAAAGTTATATAATTCTGGACATGTCATCTGACTGTTTTTATCTTTGATGCAAAATGCCCCACAGTATTTTCATGAAAAAGGATGTATGACACAGTTTCTCAAATGCTATTTTGACATGCAAAACACAGAAGTGCCCAGTGGGTCTTCCTAGGTGATCTGGGCAGTTAATGTTTTCATTTTTCTCAGCATTCCCTGAGTTTCAGCTTTAAGCCATTGCTCTTCTTTACGGTGCTGATTTTGGAAAGAATTTTAGGAATTTGGCATTTTTGGTAAATCATATAGGGGCTGGACATGATCCATTTTCTGATTGCACTGTAGCCCATGTTTACACCACAATTATTACCTTGCAGGTGTGGCATAGCATGCGGGAGACTGCTGAATACTGAAGAGCTTGATACAGGAAGGCTCCACAGGTAAAAGAATAATTACTCCCTAATGATCTTCTTGACCTGATTAGAAAAACTCAGGCGAGTCAGAGTGTTTCTGTATTCCCCTCTTGCCTCTTGGAAACTGAGTAATCAGAGGGAGAACAGTCTGCCTCTACTGAAATCAATGAATAAACTCCCATTGAGTCTGCAAGGAACAGAATTTCGCTTTAAATTGCCTGTAGATACCAATGGATGAAAAAACCTTATATGCTAAGTGTCCATATCCTTTAATAATTTTGGAATGATTATGCTCTGAAAATGCTATACCATTCAAGAGGTTTTGAAAGAGTTGTTTATATTTTCTAGCTATGTCTAACCAGCATATTAGAAGAAAAAATATCACACAGGCAGGTCCATAAAGCACACTATATTATTCAGACAGCATAAGAACTGCAGTGAGTTCACTTCAAACATCATTTTGAACTGGTTCTAGCAAGTCTGCAAGATGTCATATAAAGTATCTTTAAAGCAAAGAAGGGAGCAAGATGTTACATGTATGCAAGAAAAGATTTTATTCAGGGCTAGACAGAGTCTAAGAAGAATTCAGCTGAAGTGCTTTATTGTATAGTAAGATGTCCAAAGTGCGTGAGGGTTGCAAACCTCAGATTCAGAATTTGCAGAAGAAACAAAACTACCTTTTGCACATGATAAAGAGTAGTAGGATAGGGGAGCAACCTAGCGTAAGAAAATGAGACATAAATGAACTTGAATCTCCACCTGCCTTTTGTACCAGACCTCCTACTTTCCTTACCCCTTCTTCAATACTTCATATTCCGTCTGCTCATCAAACTTTGGATCTCGCACTTTTCTGGGGAGGCATTATGTCCTCAGTGACTGTGTTCTGTGGCAACAGGTAGACGACACAGTCAAGTAATCTCTTGCCTATGCCCTGCTGCAGTCGATCTTTTGCCACTGAACAACATTCTCGTGCTTATGTCCCAGAGGGCAACATATATATTTGAAATTCCAGAGCGTGAGAGAGAGGTCATTATTTCTGGCAAGAGCTGTATATCACATAGGAAGAGAGAGCAGTTGGCCAGTGCTCTCCTTCCATCCTTCCATATGTTTTTCTGGAATTTGATTTAAAAATCAAAAATAGATATTTAAATACTAAATATTTAAAAATATCTAAATGCTCATAGGGCAAGTTCTTGCTGAAACCCAACCCATCATTTAGTGAACGATCATCAGATTAATGTAGCTCATTGAAACTGATCTTCCTCTCTTGCAACAGAACTCCCACTGTGTCCTTGTCTGAAACTTCTTTGGACTTCTTTTCTTTTCAGTAATTTCAAGGTAGAATTATATTATGAAATTGTTTTCATGAAAGTGGCATGTTTTATTTTGATTTTCCACTTCTTAAATAACCCACCAAAAAATCAATGGGAATTGAACAGATACTTAGGAAAAAAGGAGGGGGGGGAAGAATGAAGTGTAGGGGGAATCATTTTCTCTTAAAATACTTTTTTATGAGAAAGACTGCAAAACACTGCATATACGTTTTATTTATTACTACACAATAGCAGTAGGGTCAGCCTCTTAGGAAAAGAAAATGAAAAAAATGAAATCTTTTTTTAAAAGTTGAAGTGCTACCGATTTTAAAAAAGGATTTCTAATTTCTTTTTTTTGTTGTTTTAATTAAGTGGATAAGGAAGAGGAGACACAAATATCTGAAAGAAGATTTTCCTTGAAGATTTTTTAAAGATCAATGATACTGATATTTTTCTAATTCTGTATTTTATTTTTCCTTTACAAATATATCTTTTCCAACTTCATCACGTTTATTGTAACAACCAACTTTTCAAGTAAAAAAATTTAATTCATTCTATTTGACTTTTCTGGGTTCGCTAGATAAGATTGCATTCTGACTGTTTATATGTTATGTGTGACATTAGAGACTCTTAAACCAATTGGTAAGTTGCATCTTCAAAAAACCTGTTTTTATGAACTAATATCATCAGGATTTATGTGATTGGGTACCAACACCTATTTGGATATGTAAGCTGCAAGTTTTAGCAGGACGTGTGCTGGTAGTAACACTTCTTGGAATCTGTACGTGTGAATCGGCAAGACTAAACACCAAAGACCAAAGTGCCATTTGGACTTAAGCCTGCACAGTGGGATGGGAGGAGAAGGAGGTCAGTAGTGGCTACAAATGAAAATAGAGATGAAAGGGTACCAGGAAGTTTTGGATTTGTTTTCTCTGCCTTTGCAAGAACATATCCCAGGTAACAAATCAGTGAGGGTAGGAAAGGTGGGCATGATGGCTCTTTGTGCTCTCTCCACGTAGCTGAGCTTAGGTTTTTTGTTTTTTTTTAAAAGTTCAGCCTGTCCACACTGAGACCATGTGTTCTAAACGAAAAATAGGAAAATGTTGAATTTAAGAGACAGCCTCAGCTTCTTATGCAAATTCTTTGCAGAAATTTTAATAGGCAGTTGGAGGCTAAGGTTATGAGGAATTGGGAGGCTAAAGTTAGACTCTAAACTACATATTTAAGCATCAAATTAAATTACTTTGACATCTGAATTCCTGGTTACTGAACATTTTGTCATGCATCCTAACTGGAATTACAAGGCTTTTTTTTCCTTTTAACTATTTTTTTTAACTTTATTGTATATAGAGCTCTTAGATGATTCTCTGTGAATATATGTACTCCCTCCCCCTCCATATAGCTGTATTTTCCAAGTAAAAGTTGAACTCAAATGTCCTTAAACAATGACAGAAATTGTCTTTTGGTAGTGCTAAAAAACCCAAACTTCTCAGTATATTAATGTAGCTATACTACATCAGCAGTAACTACAATAGAAAATGTATGCATCATTTAAAATTCATTTTGTTGTTTTGTAGGTAAGCTTGCAGTAATTGCCCCAGTCACTTCCTCCTTTGAAAACACATTCTACCCCTCTTCAGGCCAGCATCTATGTACAGGATTCCCTTTGAGGAACAGGTATTTGAGGAAGTAAATCCAAACAACATAAAACTTTTGTCAGGTAAGCAGTGTAACCATCATGTTCAATCATCGTTTATTTCAGTGCATTTGACATACGGTTTTCGAACTGAATTTCTTTCCTGTTGTTTTACCACAATTCTGCAAGTGAAACCAAGCGGTTATGTGCATATAGAGCAATGTTTGAACAAGTAATCATGACTACAGATGCAAAGAGAATTTCTGAGGCTCTATCATGGTATCCTGATATAATTTAATCACAGAGATGTATTCCTGCTTCATCCTGTGCCTGTCTGAGGCTCTCCTACCTGTGAACCTGCTCTCGATATACGTTAAGAGAATATAATTTCTCTTCTAGCCTCCTAGAGAGTCTAAAAAAAGTTTAAACTATCATTCTTGCTTTGATTGAATGATTTTTTTTTTCTAACAAAAAAATAAAGTGTAAATTTAGTCTAGACATAATAAATCTAAATCAGTTATAAAATCCACTTTCACCAGATTAAAATGTCATGGGCACTCTGCACTATCAATCTAGTTATAATTTACAAGAGATTTTCTTTTTTTTAAGTTTCGTTACTGACTTCAAATTCAGATCTTTCCTCATTGAGAGCATTTCTAGTCTTCACCAAGCTCATGGAATGGCAGTGGCTACAGGCACATGTGACAGTTCATACATATTTAGTTTTAGGTAAAAACATGGAAATAAAATTTGCATAGTCTTCAGAACAGATGAAATGCAAGAATTTCAACAGCATTTTACTTTGTTATATGTTTAGGCCTGAATCTGAAAAAGAAACATGAGGAAACCTCCTCTATTGATTTCAAAATAAATGTATACCCATTCTTTCCACCTAACCAGACAAATATCCATGTAGTGGGTCTCCTTCAAGAAGCAAGTAAATGAAAATGTAAATGCAACATTCTGACTCACGTTTCTGACTCCAGTTTTCTCCTCCTTTTCTTTTTCTTTCTTTCCTTCCTAGTTCATTCTGTTTTAACTGTTATGCTAGTATTTGCCTTGTACACCAGCTCCATCCTGCATGTTCTCTGCAGGGAACTGAAATTGTCTGAACTTCTCCATCTACCTCATGACCCCTGCTTAAAAATAAATACAGGCATATTCTGAAAATATCTGATCTATGGCTGAGGTGCCCAAAATTCAGCTGTCTGGATGTTGGCTCAGATATATACATAGCATGAACTATTTCAGTAGATGGACCTAGAGTACTACCTTTCAAAAATCACTGTTATGGATCTTTTCTGTAGATTAATTTTTATATTTTAAATCTAAAGACAAAACAGGATTCCATTAAAAAGGAAGATGCTTAGCAGCAGTAGAATCCTTGTGTAATTTCTAGCTGCTTTTTATTATAAAGGCCACAAAACCTAATTTTGGTGAAGGAACATGCAGCACTAAAAAGACTTATTTTAGTTACATGTTATGAATAAGCCTATCACTGCTAAGTGTTGGATATATGCGATTTATAACTTCTGTAGCAGTTCACTGGACTTGTTTTGGCTTGAAGCATTTGATGTTTCAGGTACTTTTGTTTCTGTATGCAAATCACTACCAGATGTACATGGTACATTTGTTTCAGCAGTTATCCTTATTATTTCGGTAATTTTCTTATAGGCAGAGTGTTTATCAGCACAGCAGTGTGAGTGCTTAGCAATATCTAATAGGTCAAATGAGTTCCTATCATTGCTACCTTATTGTGTTTGGAATGGAGCAAATGGTGGGCCAGATATTTGGAGCTTACTACTAAAATATGTTCTCTCAAAGTTTTGTGCTCTTAAAAACTTGGACCCAGGCAGTTGGAGCAGTTAGCATCAAAAGTTCCTGAGGACAATGAATTTCATTCTTCTACTATTTGTTGCATGGGAAATCACCTCCATACGCTGGTTTTGCATCTGGCTTCATTTAATGACTAGAGGTTTTGCAGTGGAAGAAGTGATAAACAATTGAGCTCGCTCTGTTCAATCGTGATTGTCCCTGTTGTCCTTCACTGAACTTTTCCTAGGTTTGGACCTGTATGACACAATGGAATTCTGTTTATTTCTCTCCCAAAATTTAGGTTTTTTAAATCGCTACTGGCAGTATGCTGATGTTTTCATGCCCCTATCTTCTAATTCTTAGGCAGTAATGGTCAGTTACAAGTCATTGTTTTATAGGTGAAGTTAGAATTGGGGGGCAGAGAGGGGTGTTTTCTTGTGCATTGCTCTACACTGATCTAAACTGAAATTATTAACATTATATTTTGTCTTTACTAAAATCAGAACAAGACTGAATCTTCACTATGAAACAACCCATTCTGTGTTTTGGAGATAGGAAAACAAGCATACAAACCAGACGAGTAGTGGTCCTTTAGCCTTTCTAGCAGACGCTCCATGGACAAAATTGTGGAAGCATTGCCGGGGGCTAAAGGTCGTCTAGCTTAATGTCAGAGTGTGCAGAGGAAAAAAAATCTGAAATTCTGTTAATATAAAGATGTTTACAACAGGCGTTCTGTGAGAGCTACTGATAAATACTGCTTCTGTAACTACTGTGTCTTATTGTTAATAGTATTATGAACACAGATTTGAAGCAAATTTCTTAACAGCAATATTTTTTATCCAGGAAATCAATGTCCCATGTGAAGGTCCTGTGTGAAAGGGGTCAACCCTGTGGTGAAAGGAGTGACAATAGATTCAGTTTGACTGCATTTGAAACGTACTGAGTGCATGAGAAATAACTGTAAAGAAGGCAAGAGGGCAAGATTTTATTACCTAGCATATATGCAGTTCAAAAGTCAGCATTGTTATCGCTAGTTCTTTGATCAGAAGTTTAGATGCATGAAGGAGTGCAAAAAATTGCAAATTGTGGTCCCGATTGACGGTTTGAGATTTCAGGGCATACTTCTGCTCACAAAGTTAAGTGAATTTTCCATTGTCAATCGGCATGTGCCAGATGAAGAGGCTTAGTGAGGGAGCCAGCTGTCCTGCAGACATGCTCGCTATGAAATAAACAATTAATACAAAAGCAAAGTGCAAGAACATGCAGGCAAGTACTTTAATCCTGAGAAATCTCAACTTGCACCGCTCTGTAGCATCATTCTCAGTGACAGATGCCATAAGTCAGAGTATTGATTAATAAGAAAGTAGTGTAGAAACGGAATGGGCGGACCTGTCAATGAAGAGCAAGAGAAGAGAGAGAGAGTAGGGTCTGAGGGGAAATCCAGATAGACTGAGGAGTCTTTGAGATATTCTTCTTATCAAATGGGAGAAATGGGTTAGGCCCAGATATAATCATTTTGTTTGGAGACAAAAATCTATTTCCAGAGAATTAAGACTGAAATGTTTAGGTCACCACTGACAAAGGGTATTGGTTATGAAACTGTGACACACAGTCTGTATTCAGCAGTGCAGTACCATGCTGCGCAAAGAAATGTAAACACATGAACACTGAGTGCAATAGAAAGAGGCTTACAGGAAATTGATTGAACCCTAATGGCTTTCCACTGTTGTTTAGCGGCACTGTCTGCTTATGTGAACGACGACGGAGACGGGCCGATGAATAATGCTCAGGTAGGCTAGACAGCACTTAATGATTCTCTATACACATGGAGCAGTGTTACCCGCTGGAATATTTAGAACCCACAAATTAGTTGATTCACTGAATCCCGTCACTGAAGAGACAGTCTATTGATTCCATTTGGGAGATGGTAATAGTGGAAGGACAGCAATTTCATTCTGTGACAGAAGTCCTTTGCAGGCTGCTGAAATGGCATGGTAGGGCCTGCCATTATAAATCCACCCACATATGAGAAAGATGTACTGCTGATTAGCACAATAATACGGATATTAGAACTAATATGCTAGGCCAGGCAAAGTCAGCTGAAGGGGCAGCAATAAGCTGTGTGCTTTGTCTCTCTGTGAAAGGCAGCTACAGTAAGTTCTCCTGACATGTATTGTTTCTTACAGTTTTCAGAGCAAAAAACTCTTTCCTCTTTTTATTCTTGAAGAATTAAATGGTTTGACTGGATGACTGTGACTGTCTACTCAGGTTGCCTTATAGACACTTCTGGTCCTGTCTAAGCTAGTGTAATTTCGCCTTTGTAAGTCACTGAAAATGTGCCTTTCATAGGCTTTAAGTAATAAGAAATGCCACTGCTCAAATTTTTGTTATGGTCAAATTTGTCTCAGCAGCTCAGTAGCTCTCTAACATGCTCCTCTGCTCTGCTCCCAGTTGCCCATTTACTCTAAGTCGGTGTTTGCTGATTACCCGCTTCTCTTTAAGCAGAACTCTGCACCCAGCAGAATTGAGCAGCCACATGAAGTGATAAGTCTAGGTTTGATACTTGTGCTTATTTTATCCAGTGCAATATAAATGGTAAAAAGTAAAGGGAACAGAAGATGAAGAGTGCTCCAGTTGTCACTCTGGGTCCATTTTTGTTGTTGTTTCGTATAAAAAATTAAATTTGGAGAAATATTAAAGAGTACCAAGGTTTTGGCATCTGAGATCAGGAGCTGATCCTTATCAATCAGTGTTGCACAGATACACTGATTATTTTGATTGATGCTATTTTAATTAGCTTTTCAAGCTTAGAAGTATTGAAATATTTCTGAAAGATATGATAAAACATCAAATTGCAAATGTTAATGCTTCTTCTGTGTTCTGCACTGCTTTAATATCCTGTGATTTAATTCCTTAAAGAAATATGCATGAATTTGAGAATTTACTAGATGCAAATATATTTAATCAGTTTTGTCAGATCTTGCTCACCGAGTGTGAGATTTGTTTTCAGCAGCTTCCTCACCAGCCCTTTTTTGAAATCACTCATTTGCAGTGCTGCGATGCAGCATTTCATCCCTTGCACAACCTTATGTGGCTAGTGTTCAGCTAGCTGAACTGAGCTGTGTCCCACGGATGAGCTGCAGCTGCTGTACTGAATCCTGGAGGTGTGCTTACGGTGTGCCTATACTCCTAAATAAAGCAGTATTTTCTCCTGAGGCATAATAGCATGGTCACGCCATT